CTATATTTAGGCAAGAAAAACAAAATGCACAGGTACAGTATATGTGGTACCTCGCTCAACAATAGCACCTATGAGAGGGATCTTGGAGTCCTAGTGAACAACCACTTAAATATGAGCCAGCAATGTGCTGCAGCTGCCAAAAAAGCCAACACAGTTCTAGGCTGCATAAACAGAGGGATAGAATCAAACTCATGTGAAGTGTTAATACCTCTTTTATAATGCTTTGGTAAGGGTTAGGAATACTGCATCCAGTTTTCGTTGCCATGATGTAAAAAAGATGTTGAGACTCTAGAACAGGAGTGTCAAACTCACGTTGTCAGGGCAGAGTCACGTGATGTATCAGACTTTAACTCCCTTTGCTAAACCAAGCGGGGGCATGGCCAGTTAGTGATGCATCCAGCCTGCAGGCTGCGAGTTTGACAGCCCTGCTGTAGAAAAAGTGCAGAGGAGAGCAACAAAGATGATTAGGGGACTGGAGGCTAAAACATATAAAGAACGGTTGCTGGAATTGGGTATGTCTAGTTTGATGAAAAGAAGGACTAGGGGTGACATGATTCCAGTGTTGCAATATCTCAGGGCTGCCACAAAGCAGAGGGAGTCAAGGTATTCTCCAAAGCACCTGAGGGCAGGACAAGAAGCAATGGGTGGAAACTAATCAAGGAGAGAAGCAACCTGGAACTAAGGAGAAATTTCCTGACAGTTAGAACAATTAATCAGTGGAACAACTTGCCTCCAGAAGTTGTGAATGGTCCAACACTGGAAGTTTTAAAGAAGAGATTAGATAACCATTTGTCTGAAATGCTATAGGGTTTCCTGCCTAAGCAGGGGGATGGACTAGAAGATCTCCAAGGTCCCTTCCAACTCTGTTATTCTGTAAGTCTTCCAACTGCCTCAACCAACAAACTCCTCTATTTGATGCTATGACATTCTAAAGAGCTACATATAGTCCTTGACTTATGGTCACTATTGGAACCAGTTTTTGTTGCTAAGCAAGGTGAGTTGTGCCTGATTTTACTACCTATTTTGCCATGATTGTTAAGCAACTCAGTGCAGTTGCTAACTGAATCACAAGTGAATTTGGCATTCGCCATTGACTTTGCTTGTTGGAAGTCAACTGGGAAGGTTGCAAATTAGGGCATGTCAAATTTTTCCACGTTCAATTTCCAAACATTAGGGGTGCTCAAAAGTTGTGACATGCCTTGGGGATTGTAAAGATATTTGGCTTACTTTAACATAATTTAGATGTGATTGGTAAGTAACTACATAAATATCATAACTTTTAAACATTTTTTAAATTTGCAAACACTGATCACATGACCCCAGGATTCTGCTACCATTGTAAATACATGCCAAGTGCACAAATTTGGATCATGTGACTATAGGGCTGCTGACATGGTTATCAGCACAAGTCATAAGTCACTTTTTTTAAATGCCATTGTAACTTCGAACCTTGCTAAACAAATGATAATAAGTGAGGATTACCTGTATAGAATTATGATTCCTTGTATGTAACATTATAGCAGAGAGATTTGGTTTCTCACATGGACTCATTTAACTGCAATCCAAATTGCTCACAGACCAGCATTTGGAGAACATATTGTTCAGGGTAAGGGTGGGCAATTTTGAGAACTTTACAAGTTGGCGTTACAAGTTGGCATGACTGGCTCAAGAATACTGGGAGCTGAAGTCCACAAGTTGTAAAGTTGCCATAGTTGCCCACACCTGATTCAGGATGTGCATTGGGCAATGTAGGTCCCAGAGATTTTTCAAGGTGTCTCTTTTGAGTTTAGTAAGCAGGCCCTTTATTAAAGGGACAACAGCAATATCTGTTCACAGCAGAAGTGGATACAAATGTTCTTGCTGGTCAGTTACAGCATGTTGGCTTCTAATATTACTTCCTGGTTGGGAGCAGCACATCTCCAAAAAACCAACTATGAAGGGGCAATATGGAAGGAATGTATGATTCTGCTCCTGCTTGCAGTCACTGGTCGCCACAGGGAGATCAAAGGGAGGCAAATGTTGAATTGTATATGCCACGCCATTAGGACATGCACACTGCAGATTAACATACATCTAACATACATTAGATAATGGGATACCAGTACAGTGGTGGGTTGCTACCGGTTCACCCCTGTTCGGACGAACCGGTAGCAGTGGTGGCAGGAGGCTCCGCCCACCCACCCAGACATTATCAAATACACTCTGCGCATGCGCAGAAGTGGTGCGCGAGCAAACCAGTAGCAAAGGTAAGTGAAACCCACTCCTGCACCAGTACATGAGGGTGGCATTCTCATCATGAAAGCAATGTGCACCTGTGGTCATTTTGGCCTCATTGGGGGCTTGTCAGAGACCTTGTTGCTATAACCCTTTCTGAGGCATCTGATTGCCTTATGTGCATAACAATGTTGGATTAAGGTGCCAAGGCTACTGTGGCCTAGATGTGGAGCTCTTACCTCACAATCAGGAGATTGGGAGTTTGATCCTAGCTAGAGGCAGATGTAGGGTCTCCTGCTTGGGCAGGGGGTTGGACTAGATGACCTGCAAGGTCCCTTCCAGTTCTGTTAATCTGTTGAAGGTGGATCTTGGCCTCATTCTGCAAGGTTATTCTTAGATCTTTCTTATGCCAGATGGTGCTGGGCAGGGTGAGACAGAACTGCAAAGACAATGCAATAATTTTAAACAAACAAGGAATAAACTGAGACAAAAGCTCACCAACCTCTGGTAATAAAGTTTTCTGTTTGGTATGGGTGGAGTGAGGGCTTAACAGTGTTGACCTTGGAACCAAATGTGTGGGAGAGACAAGGGAAAATAATTACCAGCTGTGGACAGAAACATTCTGGAAGGATCAGAAATATTTATTGCTGGGGATAACTGGCCCAAAGTTACACTTGCAATACTTCTTCCTCCAACCACCGGCTTGCTTTTCTTTACCCATTTCCCTATTTTGGTAAGAAAGTAAAATCCCCTTTTGGCAGAAGTTGTACATGAGGGGTGTCAAACTCGCAATGATACATTGTCACGTAACGTATCACAACTTTTCCCACCCTTCGCTAAAATGGGGATGGGCGTGGCCTGCGTGTGATGCATCCATCCCGTGGGCCACGAGTTTGATACCCCTGATGCAGATGAAACAGCTGCAACCTGTAGTCTGGGCATCCTGAAAAGGCCAGCAAGCTTGGACACTCACATTCAGATGACTTGTCTTTTCTCTACTCCTATTTGTCCTATTCTGGGAGTGTGTGTGTGTGTGTGTGTGTGTCCCTCAGGTCACCAGAAAGTAAGAAAAATGCTAGATAGAGATCTACAGATCATGCCACTGGCAATAATAAGTCAGCTTTAAAAGCTGGAGAGAGAAAGACAACACCCGAAGAAATCCAGAGAAGAATGAAGACTTAAAAAAGAAAATTACTCCAGAAAGAAATTTGGCCTACAATTCTTTTTTTTGCTTTAATTTATATGCCGCCCTTCTCCAGAGACTCAGGGTGGCTTACAATGCATTAAGCAATAGCCTTCATACTTTTGTATATTTATACAAAGTCAGTTTATTGCTCCCACAATCTGGGTCCTCATTTCACCTACCTTTGAAAGGATGGAAGGCTGAGTCAACCTTGAGCCTGGTGAGATTTGAACTTGCAGTAATTGCAAGCAGCAGATGTTAATAACAGTGTGCTTTAGTCCACTGTACTACAGGCTCTGTATTCAGCTATAGAAAAGGTTCTAAAAGACAGCTACTGAGCAATAATGTTGCAAACACATAGTAAAGGCTAGTACTAGATATTGTTCCTACTGCAAAGACTTTTTGAAGACACAGGCTCATATCTTCAAAACTTTCCTTAGCCCCATGGAGACTTTTTCTGCAAGTACCGGTAAGTGCTCTATATCAGGTCTCCAACCGTAGCAACTTTAAGATTGTACACTTCAACTCCCAGAAATTCTCAGCCAGCTTTGCTGGGTGAACACTGGGAGTTGAAGTCCACAAGTCTTAAAGTTGCCAAGGTTGGAGACCCCTGTTCTGTATTGCTCTCTGACATTCACAACACAGCTTTGTATCTCTTTCTGCTAGCTGTTTGAAAACCCTGGCATCACTTAGATCTCAGTGGGATCTCAACGGCTTTGGTGGGATCAGAGGTTAAATATTCTGATGCTGTGGATGTCCAGCTCAGGATGACTTCCTGCAGTAGACTAGGGCCTGAAGTTCTGGCTACTTATTTCATTATCTGAGGAAAGTTTCTTCAAGGAACTCATGGTAATTTTGAAGATCATTCAACAGAATGAGTTGACTACATCAGATAGGGCTGAGGGTATTGGCTGCAGATATGCAAATTACCACTAGATGGTAGCAAATGGTTACAAAAAACTCTGACACTTTGTTTCCATCTTCTGGTTGTCTAGAATTTTGCAGGCCATCTAGGGCAGGCCTATCTCAGGCAACAGATTTTAAGTATTAGTAGAAGACCAGAGAGAAGTAGTTGTTCCTTTTTTAAAAATTCCAAGGGTAATGAACTTAAGATGTTCTGCCTATCTCAACTTGGTTGACATTGAGCATTAATCTCCTTAGTCATGGTGAAGCCATGTGTTACTCCTTCTTAGGCAGGGAAGTGTGTTGGGCCTGATTGCTTCATTTAGGCGCCCTTGCTGTCATTTAGGATTTATTCTTGACTAATACGTGGTGTCTGATGATAATCAGAGCATGGCTATCAAGCCATTTGTAAACGGACTGATAGTAAGTTGTTGCTAGAGCAATGAGAGAAGAGTCAAGCTGGTTGGACTTTGGTTATAAGAGTTACTACATCTGGGCATTCTAAAGTCCACCGTTTGTTGTATTGCTGGCTTGAATCTCGTATAATACCAGAGAAAGAGTAAAAACTGGAAGAAACGGCCTGAAGTCTTTTAGGCATTCCTTACTGTTAGAGAAAAATTATTTCTCTATAGCTGTGCCTATTAATGGCTTTTGGAATGTACAGATGTGTGGGCCAATCAGAGGGCAGCTAATATGTTTGAATCTCCAGGGCCCTCCTATAACTGTCACAGTTAACAGTAAAACAGGTGATTCTTAACAGAAACCCTTGCTCTACAGTTTGGTATTCAGTTTGCTCTTCTGTCTAGTATTGTATTGTATTCTAGGATCTTCCTTTAGAGAACTGTGAGCAGTCTGGAAGTCCGTTAGAAGAGCAGTTCTGTGGTATAAAGTGGTATTTCTTCTGAGGAAGAATATTCATAGATAGCATAGCTTAGAGAGAATAGATATGTATATAGGTAGATAGCTGACAGTATAATTTATAATAGTAACTTAGTGATGTTTATTAATTGTATATATATTATGTTTTTATTGTGTAAATAAAAACATTTGCTATAGGCTGCTTCAGAGGCTCATTTGTTAAAGTAGAATCTCATAGAGATAGAGGTTCACGGTTTATTGATTTATTAACCTCCACAACACTTACCCTATACCCGTGATGGCGAACCTATGGCACATATACCACAGGTGGCACATGGAGCCATATCAGTGGGCATGCGAGCTTTGCCCTAGGTGAGTTCCAGCGCGCATGTGTGCGCAAGCCAGCTGATTTTCGGGCCCACTGGAAGTCGGGAAACTGGCTATTTCTGGCCTCCAGATGGCCTCCGGGAGGGTGGGGAAGGTTGTTTTTGCCCTCCCCAGGCTCCTAGAAAGCCTCTGGAGCCTGAGGAGGGCGAAAAACAGGCCTACTGGGCCCACCATGCCATTGTGTGCCAAAAGCAGAGGGAGTGCAGGGGGGTCACATGCACATGCACTGGGGGGGGCAAGGTGCATTGAATTATGGGTGTGGACATGTATGCTCATGACCCCCCTGCACTCCCACTTTTGGCATGCGACGGCAAAAAGGTTAGCCATCACGTCCCTATACCATAGGATGTAAGATATCCTTAACGTTGTTATCTCATTCTTATGGCATCAAAGACTTCGTGCTATACACATAGTCCTTGACTTACAGCCACAATTAAGCCCAAAATTTCTGTTGCTAAGCAAGACAGTTGAGGGAGTTTTTCCCCATTTCTTGCCACCAGTTGTTAAGTGAATCACTGCAGTTAAGTTAGTGACATCCTTGTTAAGTGAATCTGGCTTCCCCATTGACTTTGCTTGTCAGAAGGTCACAAAAGTTGATCACATGACCCTGGGACACTGCAATCGTCATAAATACACGCCAGTTGCCAAGCGTTTGAATTTTGATCACGTGACTAGAGGGATGCTGCAATGGTCGTAAATGTGAAAAATGCTGAAACTGACCAAGCTGTTTGTTATTTGCTGCAAGGAGGCAAATTACTGGGAGGCAGAGGCAGATTTTTTTTTCTTGTTTTCCTCCCCAAAAGCTAGGTGCGTCTTATACTTCAGAGCATCTTATAGTCTAAAAAATACGAGTAATTTGTTTTTTTCTCTTCCTAGTCTCCTTCATTTTCAGGAGAGATGGACAACTTTTATGGATCAATTGTCTCTGCTGGTGGCAGCTGAAATCTGAAGGCATGAAGTCCATGCTTATACACCTGAGTACAATAGGCACAGTTCTTTCCTGCCCCTATTCACATTGTTTGTTTTGTTTGGCATTGTAAAAATAAGACCAGGGAAAAAGTTATTTCCCCCCCCCCCCCGCACTCAGCACATCCCATCTCTATCCTTTTCTCTAGTGAGAGATAACAAATTGGCCTGGTTCATACATAACACTAAGCCAGATTTTTTAAATCATGGATTTTTAAACAAACCTTAATGATGGAATTACACCGTGTGAAAAACTAAAAGCAAACAAGCCACCTTATTGCTTAGCATAATGAGTGAACAAGATAGGGGAAAGAAACACATGGCATTTTTCCTCTTTATTTTCTCTTCCAACAAGATTTTCAACATATGCCTACTCAGAAGTAAGTCTTACTGTAATGACTCAGAACAGCAGGCAGACCATAATTAATTAAATTCAGATTTAAAAAAAAAAAACAACAACTATTTTTCCTTGGCTTCCTATCCCATCTTGCTTTACTCAAATGGACCAGATAGACACTCAAAAACTGTACTTATTTTCTTTTGCCTTTATTCTAATTTTCCTCTCTTCATTCCCCTCAGATAGCTCCTAACCAAGAAACTTCCATTGTTTGAATTTCCATCCTGAGGAAGACCTACAACAAGGACCACTGAGTGCAGAGGACAGATTGTCTGCTCCAAGACTCTCTGGTATCTGCAGCCGGGGGCAAAACCAATTCTTTTTTTGCTTCTTTGTACCATATGGTTCTTCTTGCTCACTCTTCCTGGTAGCAGTGGTGGTGCTACCTGCCTTGCAGTCAGCCACTCTTCCACCCAGCATCTCTCTAATAATTGCTCCAGAAAGCTCCTGAGAACCAGGTATTCATGTTGCAGTGCCAGCGGCCATGTCACAATTTGTTCTTGTGAAGACCACAACAGAGCAAAGTTCCTATGGATCACGAGGGTGTCAAGCTGCTGCACAGAGTCCTGTCATAGATGCAGTGAGGGATCCGTTCCTGGGTGACAAATCAGGATGCCATCTGGTGATGGCCTATCCCAAATTAACTTCTATCTTGTTCTAGTGCCTTGTCTGAAGTTGCTGCTTTGTTTCAGCTAAGGATGGGACTGGCTTTGCTCAGAGATGATTCTGACAGTGCTCCAACTCATTTAGCCCCAAATGAGAAGAAATGTTATGTGTGAAGCTAGAAAAAAATGAAACAAATAAAGAAAAACCTCCGAAGATTAGGCAATTCCAATCACCATTAGCTTTGGAAATTTCAGTAACTTGATTCAAATGGCTAATGCACCACTAACTGTTTCTCCCACTGTTAGATTCGAAGAGGCTAATAATGGTCCAGGTAGCTACGACTAGGATAATCTAATACAAGTGTTTGGTTTACATTACTGGTCGTGGAGAAGCTATTTTCATTTTGAAGATTTTCATCGGAAGATTTCCATTGTTGCAGCAAAGGCTCAAAAAGTGCCCAGACTTATTAGGGAGTTTTGAGCTGTCATGAGAAATATGGTTAGTCACAAAATGATTTCTTTGGCCAGCCACAAAATATTTGAAGTCCAAAGATTTAATATCTGAAAATGAAAAGAGCAGATAAAAGCAGGATATCACAATAACAAATGTTTTTGTGTGACTTATATTATTGAGTCCTGTAGAGTTACTCATTCAGATCATTTCCACCCACCCAATATGAGTCACCTCATATTTTAGCAACAGTCTTTGGGATTGGGTTTTATTTCAGATTATTTGAAATCACTTGAGTGGAACTGAATTTAGACTGGGGAAAAACCCCCAATCTGTGCAGATGTTAAATAACATTGGTTTGATTTCAGTGGTTTCGGTCAAAGTATTTCTACAAGCCGCTTCCAAATGTCAAAATTAACTCTATTTAAATAAGGTTCCACCAGACTATAGGATGTACAAGGCAATTAAAATGGAGATGGTTTATGGAAAGTTTTTTTTAATTATTTGGCAGGAATGGATTAAATTTACAATTGTATTCTTGGGCCAGGAGGTTGAACTGATTAGAGCTGAAAGAGATAACTTTTTCTCCAAATTTTCCCTTACTTCCAATTGGTTCTCATTCTTTTCTTGTTTTAAAGGAACACCCTTTTTCAGTTAGGGGGAAATAAGAGTGGGAGGCATTCCTTACCTGACTAAAAGAAGTCCATTGCTATTGATTCTTGCTCTGTAGGTGAAATAAAGCAATTGACTGGAAGCTTTTGTCTTCCATGCAAATACCTTTCATCTAAAGCCCAAGCAATGAGAAAGGATGATTCAGGGGCCTCCAGGGAGGGAAGGGGTCCTTTTGTTGTACATGTCTGCAGAGAAAGGTCAATGTGTCTATTAGACAAAAGGCTCTTAAACTATTCCATACACTTTTCCCATATAATCTCCCCTGCACACATTTAGCAACAGTGGGGCTCCCTCTTTCTCTCTTTCTCCTCTTCCTTTCTGCTGGATCCATTTGAGTCAAACTGCCCAAAAGCGGTCCTGAGATTTATACAAACCAAGAAGTGACCCATTTCACAAATTGCCAAATGGGTATCACCAAAGGCCCTTTGAGAGAAGAAGAAGGAATCCCTACACCCCGTTTTGTTCCCCTGTTGAATTAGTGTACAAAAGTCTTCGGTTCTCCGGCAAGTTTAAACACGTTCTATTTGCTTGACTCACTGTTTTGAGGTTATCTTCATAGCCTTGAGGGCTGAGAACAGGAGATGAAATAAATTATTGCCGATTGCAGCCACCCAACCCAGATTATCAATCATTTTCAAGCACATTTCAAGTCTGTGGCACCACATGATCCTCACCTGCACGTTTCAAATTGAATAGCCTCTGTCTCCGTGACTGAAACCTGCACAAAAAGCTTTTTTTTCACAAAAGCATTGGCCTTGAAATTTAAATATAGCCAAAGGAGCAAAGAATGAATGAACCTTAGATCACAAAGTAATGGTTCAGCTTGGATGGCAGGCCCACAACATATTGAATTAAGGTTTATTTATTTAATTTGTTTGTTTAAATTTATTATCCACCCATCTTACCTTAGGGGTAACTCTAGCCGGCTTACAGTTACATATACAGTTAAAACATAAAAAGTTAAAATCAGACATTAAATCCGAGGACACATGGGGAGGGTGGGAGCCGGAGTGGGGGGAGGGAGGTGGGATCTGTTATTAATCAACCACCTCCCTCTAAATGGCTTATATGATCCCTTCAAGTTAAATTTATCACCCTTGGTTCCGTTCCTAAAAAGCTTAACTTCACCCAAAGTACTGCACCATTTTAGCCATCTTAACGTTCTTCTGTAGAACTACTAACATTTTATCTCAAAATGTCGGTAACTAATTGCCGTGTTTTGAGTAGGATCTAGATTGGGATCTAGAGGGAAAGAATATGCAAGAATTCGTCTCCCTGCCCACCCCACCCCCCCAATAGCAGACATCAACACATCTTGTTGAATCTGCTCTCCCTGGTTCTCTTGTCTGCCTTCTCTAGGAAAGGTAGCTATGGAGGCTCCCTATCTCTGCACAGGCAGCCGGGTGTGAAATAGTGCATTAGAGCCGAGTTTAGTAATTTGGTGTTCTATTATTGGGATGAGTAAAAAGTAGATGGGGTAATGATTTGTAGTACATTTCTCACTTACATCACTTAATAATAGCAACAACAAAATGACCCCTCCTAAATTATTCTGCTGAGATGAAAAAAAGAAAAAAAAAGAAAAAAGGGCAGGGCTTTTGTAAGGAAGAATGGATTCCCCCCCCCTTTTTTTTTTTAATGGAGCTGGGACTGGGCTCCCTTCTGATTTTCAAAACAGATTACTCAGCCAAGAATTATAGAATGCTAAATGTAAGCTGTTCTTTTATTTTCTTTTGCACCAGACTCCCATTGGTGGACCTGAAGGCCAACAAAAGAGCCAAATCCTGCAAGCCTGTCCTATGAAAAGTGGCTAGGGTGGCCCCATACTGGGTTCCTTCAAGAGCTGGGCTGGATTTTCTGAACAATTTTAATGATTGCTCCCTGAAAAAAACAGGAAGAATTTGATAGGTATCAAAGGGAGGCAGGAGGGAGTACAAAGTGCTGATGGGGAGGGCAAAAATTGAGGGGAGAAATGGTTGTGGTGGAGGCTGGTTAGTGAGGGGGGGGGGGGAGGAGGAGGAGGAGGAGGCATCCCTGCACCTATCAACACTTCCCAAGCACACCCTTATTCAGGCCCATTTTTCTAACTTCCCCTCCAAGTTAATGGGTGATGAAGTGGAACAGATTTTACATGCCTCAAGGCTGTCTTTGGACTGTATTGGGATGCAGGGAGTGGGGGAAGGAGGGGAGGGGAGAATACTGCTTAAATGCTATGACAAGCTTGCCTCTCTCATGGGTTGATTAGGAGTTGCATAATTGTGCTGTGTTAAGCTAAACTGGGGAGGGGGTATTGAGTAGCACTTGTGAGGAAGAAAAGAAGCAGGTTTTTTTCCCCCCATAGAGAGGAATTGAAGTGAAAGGAGAGGAGAAGAGAGGCAGGAGGCATAGGATTTGCAGAGGAACTAATGTACAAGGGTAGCAGAAGAGATGTGTGTCTATGCAGGGGACACAGGGGGAAATGCACAACTAATGAAGGATGGATTGTAACAGAATTGGAAGGTCTTCTAGTCCAACCCCCTGCTCAAGCAGGAGACCCTATACTATTCAGACAAATGATTGTCCAATCTCTTCTTAAAAACCTCTAGTGTTAGAGTATCCACAACTTCTGGAGGCAAGTCGTTCCGTTAGAATGGAGAAATGGAGAAGCTAACAAAAAGAGGAGTTTACAGGATGAAGGCAGACCTGATGAGATATGCAGCCAAGAAGGATATTTAAGCAAAAAGAACATACCCGCTGGTCCTCTTCCTTCTGTTTCTTGGATTTCAACCTTGCAATTCTAAGCCTCTTGGGCTGAATGGAGGCAAGGATGTACTTGCATTTATTTGAGGGGAAAAAAAGCTGACCTCTCATGCTCAGCTTTCCCTGTGTCAAGCATCCCAGCAAAGGAATATATAAAGCCTGCATATCTGCTTTTACATGCATTGTATTACTGTCGTGACCTGCTTGGCCTGAATATTAAGTAGACTTTCAGTTCGAGTTACAGTTAAGCACAAATAAAGCACTGTTAACTCATTTCATTTAGACCAGGGGTGTCTAAATGAAATGAAATGAACCTTGGCAATCTTAAGAGTTGTGGACTGCAACTCTCAGAATGCTGGCTGGAGAATTCTGGGAGTTGAAGTCCACAAGTCTTTAAGCCGCCAAGGTTAGACATGCCTGATTTAGAACAATTGTACAGCTTTGTACAGCCTCTGATCTCTTTTTTTATTTGCATTGCATGTTCATGAAGAAGGTACAGGGTCTTGTTCAGTAGTGGGTTCCACTTACCTTTGCTACCAGTTTGGAACTGTGAGTGCACGCACGCTTTGCTTCACGCACACACAGAGTGTCCGTGATGATGTCCGGGCAGGTGGGCAGAGCCTCCCACCGCCACCACTACCGGTTTGCTTGAACTGGGGTGAACTGGTAGAAACCCACCACTGTTCTTGTTCATACAGGGCCATCTTGACTTTTTTTGACACCCCCAGATGGAGATACCTGTATTTGTCCCTTAATTGTGGTACAGCTAAAAACCTGTCATGGATTTGTTGGTGGGATTCAATCCCAAAGCGTGGGTGTAATTGTAAGAAAACATTTAATTATAATTTGAGATTACTACTTGACTGTCAACATCAATTAATGTTTTCTTTAGATTACCCAGCTTTGGAAGTCCAATTTGGGCGTCTTTTCTTATGAACACAATTTTACCAAAATAAAACATTGGAAGGGAGTTTCAATTTCCATTGGTGAAAGGCCCATGCAGAAGTTAACAAAAATCTTGTGAAAATCTTAAGAATAGGAGAACATTTGAAATAATGTAGCCTTGTACATTACAGTACCAAAAGTCTATTTGGAAAAGAGAGAAAACAACCAGAAAATGTAAAAAAAAAAAAAATTACATAAAAGGAGCATTCTAAATAAAATCTGCAGTCTTTTTAATTTAAGTTGATGGCAGGTCATCTACTTGAGTGGCATTGGGTTTTACCACATAAGCAGTTGGCTCAAATGCTTTGTCAAGGTTTCAATCAGATATTTTAGGAAGCATTTTGGCCTCCAATTTTCCCTAGGAACAGTCAGACTGAAAGCAAAGTCACATGTTTATGAGAATCTGAGATCAATAAAAGCCACAAACTATGCTGATTTATCCAGTAGTGGAACATCCCCCCTTTGTGATGTCAGAGGCTAACCAACAAATCAGAAAATAATGTAGTGGTTGGACCACTTCTTAACAATTCCGTGTGTGTGTGTGTGTGTGTGTGTGTGTGTGTGTGTGTGTGTGTGTGTATTCATTCTAGCCAGGTGGGCTGATTTTAAAAATGAGCTTGGCAAACAAATATTTATTGGAGAACAAAAGATAAGATCTAACCTATGCACGTCATCTGGCATGATGCCCACTGTTCACCAGATGCTCTAGGGGGCAATGTTGAGCCACATAAGAATATAGTGTTTTGTCACATGTGCACATGGTATATTAGACATATCTGTGATCTGCACATATAAAAGCA